TCAGGAGCGCAAAACTACGTTTGGGAAATGTAGCGTACAAGAATTTTTAAACCAAGCAACATTTCGGGATAAAACGACGTAGTGTTCTAGACCCATCCTTTCTCTGCAAGGCATTAACATTTGAAGTCTATATCTTGAACGGTACGGCTGAATTTAGGGAAACGGCGAACCTCTGCACGGCCGCTTGCCGACGCTCGGGTCTCCTCCGGGCCCGCTATCAGCGCTAACTCGGGTACGGGACGGGCCCCTAAGGAGCCCCCCAGCCCCCCACCCCCTACTCGACTCACGCCAGTTTGCCGTACTCTGCATTCTTCGTCGGGCGGGCTATCGCTTTGCATTATCACAATTTTCTATTGACAGACCACTACTGGTGGGAATTTACCTCATTCTTATGGGTTTTGTGCTGATCACTATGCAGCTGTTTTGCCCCAAACTGCTCGACTCATGGTGGGTACTTCCTCCATGTTTGCTGTCCCTCGTCCCCGCACAGCTCAGATGAGTCATGGCAGAGCCTCAGTGGCGAAGGGTCCGTGACGTCAGCCCGGTGTCACGCCAGGGTGGCCCGAAGTGGTTGAAGGCTCGGCAACTACGCCTGACCGCCTGCAATTTCGGCCCTGTGTGCAGAAGGCTAAAAGCGAACACCTGCAAAAACATTGTTCGAAACCTGCAGCACTCAAAACGCCTGCCCACTCCGGCCATGAAGCACGGGACCAAGATGGAGGAGGTCGCTCGACAGTTCTTCGAGAAGGAGACCGGACTTCTCGTAGGGCAGACTGGACTGGTGGTGGACAGGCGGCTCCTTTTCCTGGCGGCCAGCCCTGGTAAGCACTGGAGGCAAACCGAGTTTATAGCTTTTGCCACAGAAAAATGAAAAATAATGTTATTTCAGACGGACTGATTAGCGACGACGGGCTACTAGAGATCAAGTGTCCGACGAGTGGGGCTGACTTCCCCTCAGCCGAGGGTGCAGTCAGGGCAAAAAAGGTAAAATGTTACCTATTTTAAAAAATGAAATTAAAGAATGATCACAATTTTTGACAGTTCGTACTGGTTTTCAATATTTAGCTGTCATATCTGAAGTTTGGAGACGATGGGCAGTTGCTGTGCTCGGACAGAAGGAGCGACTACCATTTCCAAATTCAGGAGCAGCTCCATATGACTGGTCGCAAGGAATGCCACCTTTTCATCTGCCAGTTCAAAACTGACAAGCGCGAAGAGCCAAAAGTAATTTGGCATAAAACATTCACTATACTGAGGGACGACGATTTCTGGAGTCGTAAGATGGAGCCACAATTGACAGAGTAAGCAAAGCACCCCACACAAAACTTTAAGGTACTATTACCGACTTGTTCCACGTACTCGGAATATCGGTACTTCGCTCTAGTACCGTTCAATTTTTTCGGCTGGGGTTTGCGCCGCAATGTAGCTTGGACCCATAGCTCTCGAATCGCACTTCGACCGTCCACACCATTTTATTGCATCACCCCCATAACGCGATTGGAACGATCCGAGCGGTGCCCGGCGGCGACTCGCCGGTTCGAATCGTGCGCGCGAAACTATGGCGCTTCCCTGGCGGGAAGCGGTATAGTCCGCTGCAGGCGCTATCAGCCGAGAATGAGCGGCAGGTGACAGGCGAGTGAGTTGCACAGGGCCGGCCAGCAGCGCTGAGTGGCCGGCCGGTGTCTTGATTCCTCATTCTCGGCCGATAGCCCCTGCCACGCCACCCAGCGAGCGCTGGCTGGGTGCAGCGGTGGTGAGCGGACTATACCATATTTTCATTTAAAATGCGTTCTTGCATACCGATTTTTTTTTTTTGAAACAGCCTATTCTACAGCCCGCTCGAAACAACGTTAATACAAAGACCACGACTGACGGCAGTAGAACAAACAAAACACTACCCAGATCAACTTGACGGTGTCTCTTCATTGAACTGGTGGTGTCACAGTGACAGCACCCTGGCGGCCTTACAATGCCTGCCCACGCAAGACACCTGAATGGATATCAGCGTGATCCCACACCGTTTTCCAACATTGCAAGAGATTGGACAAACCACACGACAATAACAGAAAACGACCCATCGACGACGTTGGCGAAACAGACGTCCTAGACCTTAACAGAATTCATCCCTTCCTACCCTCTCCTCAAACAATCGAGATCCCGTCTACTCCCTCCCCGATTCACTCCGCTTCCCCGGAAGTACCCCCACCCCCTCCTCCTATCTACCTGGCGTACCCACCGCCCCCGCCACCCTCCCCTGCGCTTTCCGACATAACGCCTCGTAGACCACCATCGCCCGAAGAACTTGCGGCACATCTACAAGAGATCAACTCGACGTACCAAATAACGGATGTCACATGGGTAATACTACTGGAATTTAACATGGATGAGTTCCTTGCTCACACTTTCCTTTCCAAAATCCTTCAAGACGCGCGGGTATTCTGAGAAATGGTCCAACATGTTCGGACCTGCTCATACGCTCTCTGTTTGCGGGGACCCCCTCGCAGAGACGCTCCGGTAGATCAGTATCTATCCACCAGCACCAGCTGAACAGTAAGGTTCTCCTCTCAAGCGCCCCTTCTTGGCCCAGTCGAGAAGGGACTTAGTCTGTGGAGCCGCACCTGGACTTTGTTTCCTGAACAGTGACGCTCCTCAACTCACTACACCCAACCGACACCCGCGTCAAGCTCCATTAACTCCCATTCATTCACGAGCGCACACCCAATAAAACACACACACAAAACAAAAATCCCTTCACAACGCGGTTCCGATACCAGTACATTAGCAATATTCAAATGACAAAATGGCAATCGAGTGAGCGTTTTTAGAGGAAGTTCAAACACTCCTAGAAACAAATAGATTCGTACGATACCCATATTACGTTCTTTCAAGCACTGAAGCTCTCCCACAAAATTTATTAAACGGTAAACACTTTTGTAAATCAAATTTTACGGACCTATCAGTTGTGGCTTTTTCTCTGCAACCGCCCATGTAAAACGACAGCGAGCTGCAATCGACAGGTTTAACCTACTTCGGCCCTCTGCCACCGCACGAGGAGAATTCGACATCCATCTTGTAACTTCAACCCCTAATCACAGTGAAAACGTTTTGCGACTTAAAAGTTTTTTCCATTTGTAATCTTTTTACAGAGTGCGTAGACCTTTACCTCACACGCACACAGAAACTTCGCGGTCTCAAAATAGCTCTCCAATCAGTCTCTCTTTGCTCCGCGCGCTACATCGAACCAGCCGAATTTATTATGGCTGTGAGAAAAAGTAAGGTTTACAGGAAAATTTTCCTTGACGCAAGTTGTAAAATTACAATTTGTAATCGAAAAAATACATGCAGTATGTGTCGACTTCAAATCCCTTGGCGACTAAAAAATGTGCTGTCATAAGTTCACAACTTAAATTATAATTCAAGTTCACAACTTTTTTGTAAACTTACGACGATATTTTTCACAGTGATCCCTGTTACCCCAGCCCTACGTTTAATCATGAACGGTCGCCCTGTCCCTGAAGCTACTTCTAATATATCCCCAGAACTTCCAGTGTTCACCGGAGCTCAGAATGAGGACGGTAAATCATTTTTCGACCGCCTTCATCGCGTTTTCGTGTGCTATCCTAACATAACGGCCAATCTGGTAATCTTAGAGAACCAAACGCGAAACGAGGCACTGTCCCTCGTACAGCGAAAATGCCAGTGGTTGCCAGACAACCCCCTGGAAAATAATGAGAAAAGAACGCCTGAACAAATTTACAACCACATTAACACTAGAACTAAAGGGATTTGCGTATACCTAGATCTACCGGAGGGGTCATTTTGACCCCTATTTACTTTTTCGCCGTTTTAGCTGTGAAAGGACTGCGGTTTTGGGTACACGACTTCTTATTTTTGTTTTTTATAACACTTCAAGCAATTTTTGCACCCACGGGGGTCCCTGTGAAGGGGTAGGTAGGTAACCTGCAAAGCACAAAATGTAATTTTTTAGAAGTTTTACAGATTTTTTCGTAATTTTTCGTTTTGTTTTGGGAAAATTTCATAGGATTACCATCAAATACAATAATTCTCAACATTTTAGCATAGTCTGTGTTTATTTCAGTCTGATCGACAACCTTAGACACCGCCAATACTGTAAGTAATTCTGAAACTTTGCTTCTGCGGATAAAACAGTGCACAAATATCGTGCAATAACAGTCGTAATAGACCATTTTTTATCATTTTTAACCTCCGTTCGACCATGTAGCGCGTTTTCAGGCTGACAGTACCGTTGCGAATGCCTCATAAGTATTATGTAAGAAAAACATGATTTTGTGATGTGTGGGTTGCCTACCTATGCTGAAAGAGCTTCAAAATAGTCACACGACCAAGCGGAAGTCAACACTTTCCACAAAGAACAACAATGGCAAGGTTTAAGTTGAAAACCGCTCGTTAAAAACCATGAAAGCTCTGGAAAACTGACACAGGGGTCAAAATGACCCCTTCGGTAGAGCGAGGTATATGTTATAATATCTCCTAAAGTTTTTGACGCACATGCCTGGCTTTTCGTGTCAAGGCGTATTTTGGTGACCCATGAAAAGTCAAAAAGTGGCGGGTCGGTAGAAAAAAAAATTGATAGTTCATTTGGCAATTCAAAATCGAAAGGGGTCATTTTGACCCCTCTGGTAGTTCTAGTGTTAAACAGTCTTTGAAAGACTCGTTTGCCCCCCACACAGATTATGAACATCTTAGCGAACAATAGGTTACAATTGATCAAGAATTGCCACGGAATTACCAACGCAATCACACTCTTTAAAGTACAATCCAAAAGAAGAAACCTTTGATGAATTTAACCTGAAATTTGATAGACTTGTGAGAGAGTTGAAAGGAACTGGATACGTATCAGATAAACTTGAGTTGGTTACTAAACTCCTGTGGGCAATGTCACCAAATTACGAGACTGCTGGGCGCTGTTATAGGGAGTAGCGCGGGCCTTGCACGGATGCGCCTCACCTAAGTCCAAGATGATTGACATAACTGAGTTAAATGCGGAGGAACGGAAAGCGGAGTTCTCTCCGTTCATTCCTGAGCGTCATTTGCAATCAACCATCAAGGGCCTTACAAGAAAGCTCTTCAACCAATACATCTGTAGAATTCGGACAAAGAACCCTAAACTGATAAAACTAATACCAGCTGAACTATACACCTCTATCAAGTTATTGGCCGCAAATGTGCTCAATGGGAAGGTGTGGATTCCCAGAAAGCCAAATGGCAGGAAACTACTCTCAACCAACTCAGACTGCACGTATGGAGATATTCTGGCCGGCACAGTATTCATAGAAGTGAGGGTGGCATGAAAATTTCAGGAATTCATTCAAGGAGGGCAAACGAAGTGCAGATCGCACCCTCCACACTAACATTAGACTGAGGGCTTCGCTTCCACTCAAGCGATGCATACTTTAAAAGATCGAATTGTTCATTTTTCCCCAAGAAGCTAACCTTGCTCTATGGCGCATAACAGGAAGATCTGGGAAAAGTTGCGGGATGCAATGATCCACAAGCAAACAATCAGAGACCGGAGCCCTGGAATTTGCTCAATGGGTTCTGGAAGTATCAGGCATCAAGTCCACTACAACCAGAACTTTGCATTACTCTCGTGGGACAATGCGGCTTATTTGTTTGATTACCAACAGGTCATGATGATGTGTGACACCACCACTACAAGTTATCTGGCGATGCTAGCATGTGAAAGTTATCATAATGCTGGGTTGTCTCATGTGCCTCCACCATATGTCCTTTGAGACATTTACATTTGGGGGGATCAGATCCTCCGAGAGAATGGAAATACTGCATATACCATTACCAAGCTCTATGAGCCATGGTGCATGGGAGTGTTCTTACATTCTTAACAAATAAACAGCAGTCAGAAGTGATTCTATCCAAAAACTTTTTCTTAAACTACTTGCAAGCAGCATACACCGAGCTTTCTCCAACAAGGTTCTGCTGAGCCTTTCCTCAACTCCATTGTTCTCAGGTGTATTGGGTATGGTCAGTTCATATTCACTCCCCTTCTCTGCAAATAGCTCCCATATTTCTATTGAGAAACTCTCCTCCATTATCTATCACACCCCAAATGTCAAATCTTCTTATCTGGAAATCGATTAGTTACTCTGACTTTGTGCACTCTGAAATACTCAACGCTTTAGATTTTTGTTTCAAACCATACACCACTGCAAAATAAGAAAAATCGTCAAGAAAGGTTAGGAAATAACGTACAAATTGATATTCAAATAGTAACATCAAATATGAGCCTGGACTCTGGCTCATCTTAGGAAGTACCAACAAAGATCTAAAAGTGGGTGAAATCCTTCTAGTCTTATACAATGGGAAAGAAGTAAACTTCATTGTAAAGATTCACAAGGCCATCAATTCCAACCAGGGCTTTTATGCTATACAGCCTGAAGCTTCTGTATTGGGCTTAACTCAACTAAAGGACCTTGTTGATTACTATCCCCTTCCAGCCTACATCTTTCAGTCGAAGCTTTGTCTCACACTAAAGCACACCAACCCATCAATGGACTCAATATGATTGTCACATGTAAAACTATCCTGAATATTGTAAGATAAATGATCATAATACAAGTATGCTTAAACTTGTTCACTATTTAAAAAATATAAAAATGTTTTGTACTGTTGTGATCTGCTAAATACACCATAAACACTCTTAACCTGATCTGCTTAGACCTATGTATGGCGCCATGACAGTCGATCCCTCCTGAAAGTCTCTACAATGCTAGCCTATACTCCTCTGATTCCTTTGGTACCCCCACCCTAACAATCAGCCCCTCTTATTCTTGACTTCTTCTTGGAATTCCCTTTATAAGCGGCTCGCACCGACCCCTCAGCGCCCAGTCTTGCGCTGTCTATTGTAGAAGCTACGCTACCTCAATAAACAGTCAAAGTCCAACCAACTCGCTTCCTTTATCCTTCCACCAGTTCACAACACTGGTGGCAGCGGTTTACGGTTAATTGGTTGGAGACTTTGGATTTGGCGCCCCGATTCACGACTTTGCGTTTCGCACCTCCCGTTTTCCGAAAGGAAGGTGGGAGTTAAGTGAACTGCAAGTTCGAGAAGTAAGTAGTTGGTTTGGTTTGTTTCTTAGGTTAAAGTAGTCAGTCATTTAGTTAGTTAGTTAGTTTATTAATTCCTTAAGTGAGTGAGTCTGCCAAGACCTGTCTCTCCTGCGTCTAACCACCAGTTGAGACCGCGTCGAGTGAAAGGGAATGACCCGTCTCTTCCGCGTCTAACCACCAGTTGAGACCGCGTCGAGTGAAAGGGAATGACCCGTCTTTTCTGCGTCTGACCACCAGTTGAGACCGCGTCGAGTAAAAGGGAATGACCCGTCTCTTCCGCGTCTAACCACCAGTTGAGACCGCGTCAGAGCGCTTTTAAGGGTTACGACCTGTGCTAGCCGCGTCCTAGACCCGCTAACACTGCGTCATAAGGGTTTTTCCTCCCCAACCTGGCCGTCTGCGTCTCCGACCTGACGAACCTGCGTTACACCTGCACTCACTGCGTCCCTGACCTGTGAGCGCTGCGTTTTCTCTGACCTGTGCCAGCCGCGTCTTTTGGTACTTTCAATAGCAGAAAGTGGAATAACAGAATACCTTATATTTTAGGTTCAAAGAATCCAATAATTTCACTTTACCCCCCAACGGCATTAATTTTACATGCACAAGATTAGAGGATATAGGGAAGGTAACGATGAGAAAATACGATGATTCAAAAGAGAAACTGCTGAAAGTGGGAGAAAGTAACAAAAAGTCAAATAAGGGCTGTAATGAGCAAGAAAATCAATGAAGCAAGGGATAAAAAAGTCAAAAAAAGTCAATAAAGTCAAAAAAAGTCAACAAGTCAAAAAAAATCCAAAAAAGTCAAAAAAATCAACAAAAAGTCAAGAAAGTCAGCAAAAGTCGAAAAAATCAGAAAATCTCCTGAAAAATCTTAAAAAGTCAAAAAGTCAACCCTGATTTAAAGTCGGTGTACACCCATAAGAGCCAGTGAGCACCCCCTCGCGCACGCCCGCCAGGAGCTCGTCGGTGTCGCCCACGAACAGAACCACATGCACAAGGAACAAAATTGTTCTTTCGCATTTAGAGTGTATGTCATGCTGAAATTAAGAATTGTGTTTTCTCGGTGTACCGCATCACAGTCAGATGTTTTTGTACACAGGTAGTGGCTCCATTAAGCCTACCACAGTTAGTGGATCCGTCAGGCCCCGTGGTGGCTCCATCAAGCCCCGCAGTGGCTCCGGCACCACCAGCAGGTATAAAATTGTTCCTTCCATTTTAGAGTGTACACTGGCGGTCTCAATTTCGACAAGCTCACTAAATCCATATGTATTATTTTGTGCAGATGAAGCGGCACAGCAGCAGCAGTCGGACCAGGAAACAACGGATGAGGTACGGCAGCACTGTAAAATAAAGTGTTCAACTGGCAAGCACGTTCAAGTGTTCAACACTATGTTGCACAATTCCAAGTGCTGAACTATAAATTTGAATACCTACAAGTGTTTAACAGTAAGTTTGAACGGTTTAAAGTGTCCACAGCTGCATGATCAACCCCTCCACTTGAACAGTTTTCAGTGTTCAAACTTACTGTTAAACACTTGAAGGTATTTAAATTTCTAGTTCAGCCCTTAGAATTGTGCAGCATAGTGTTGAACACTTGAACGTGCTTGCCAGTTGAACACTTTATTTTAGAGTGCAACGAAGTCATTTCTCTGGGCAAACGAAAACGGGATATTGGGCGATAATTCCCGTGAATCTCTTTCCTTTTGATGCCTTCTGTCCTCCTCTCTCCCTTTTTAATCGTTGTTTACCGCACCTTTACTGCATCACACGTCAGATGTTTTTGTTTTCACAGGAAAACTCTTCCAGGTCCACTGACGTCGTCATATCCCAGACACCACCTTCACAGATAATGGAGCAGTCGGACCTGGATTCAATGGATGAGGTACGGCCACACTGTAAAACTAGGGGCCCGTGCGTGATCAGAAGGCACGGGGTAGCTGAGCGAAGTGTGTTAAAACATAAGATGTACCGACAGCTCAAAACGAAACTTCATGGAGAATGGAGAATGAAAGGAGGGGGGAGGGGGGGGGGGGGCAGCTGTGATGTGTGAAAACGAATGATCACTTTCCATAGGACAGGACATTTCATCTTTTGGAGAGGAATCCAAACCTGGCATTGGATTTTAAAAATGATCATTTTAAGACTTTGAACCTATTTGTAGGAGTTATCAGATAGTAATAATGTTTTCCAAGTACTAAAATTATTAATTACCATTCTATCTCAACAATAAATGTAAGGGAAAGTTATTAAAGGCACCCATCTTTTACCATGAAAATAAAATTGCAATGGACCGACGGTACGGTACGGTAATAAGCGAATATGTTTTGGAAACGACTAATTACGGACTCTCAGAAAACGAAAGGATCTTGTGTTTAAAAGAGTTTGAAATATGTAGTTGAATGAATTAATTAATTGTTCGGCAGTTTTTGTTTTCACAGGAAAACGCTTCCAGGTCCACTGAAGTCGTCATATCCCAGACACCTTCACCACCTTCACAGATAACGGATGAGGATGAGGTACGGCCAACGAAGTTATTTCTTGGGGCAAACGAAAACGGGATATTGGGCGATGATTCCCGTGAATCTCTTTCCTTTAGTTGCCTTCTGTCCTCCTCTCTCCCTTTTTAATCGTTGTTTACCGCACCTTTACTGCATCCCATGTCAGATGTTTTTATTTTCACAGTTAGTGGATCCGTCAGGCCCACCAGCACCACTGATAGTGGCTCCATCATTAAGCCCCGCAGTGGCTCCGGCACAGGAGCAGCAGTCGGACCTGGATTCAACGGATGAGGTACTCGACGGGCCGGGGGAGGCTCCCATCAAAAACCATATTCTGAATCAGAATAAATAGATCTATTCAATGAGTTGGAAATCACCCTCACTAGCCCCATAGTTCAAAAAATATATTTGAAAAAAACATTAAACTCCTTCTACCCGTCGACTGCGACTGGAGTTCCTGGTGTTAGTGAAACTTCCCTAGTGTTTGGACCACAGTACCCATATTTGTTCGGCTGTTGGCGGCTGCAGGTTGCAATAATCCCGGGAGGCGTGACGGGCCGTGAGGCCCGAAAACAAGCCCATTGAGGGAAATGTCCAGAATACACTTCCAGAAAACTAGTGAAAATGTCCGGCACCTCACAACCTAGCCCCAAGTTGTTATGCAGTTTAAAAAATACATAAAGAAAATGCAAAATGAAAATTCAAAAAAAAAAAAAAAAATTTTTACATGCTAGATCGACTGAAAATGGTCGGTTTTGGGGGGGTAGTTCCTCTTCCATTTTTTGATTTGAGCTCTCCTTCTCCTGTTTTTTAGACATCTTTAAACCAAATTTGACAAAAATGGCAAGCCATGTAGGTTGAGCTGAGACTATTCAATTTCTATTATAAAAATTTTGTTATTTAGATAATTAGAATGAAAAGAAACTAAAATTCGATGTTGAATTGTAATGGTCAGATTATGTGTATGGAATATGTGCAGAATAATCAAAAAAAGAAGATGCCCCGTAGGCTACGAAGCAGCTTGTTTGTAAGATTCTCTCAGTGTGTTGATACCTCTAACCGTTTTGGTCGTAGCGACGAGCTGAAGACGAAGGCAACGCTGCGTTCTCGCCGCCGCGCGGAGCGGCCGTCCTGAGACAACAGGCAGTGTCTCCGGCAGCACCAGCAATACCAGAACGAGCAGGTATAAAATTGTTCCTTCCAATTTAGAGTGTACACTGACGGTCTCTATTAGTCGACAAGCTGGGACGTGATGGGACGGTCGCTGCAGCTTACCCTGCCTTATACGAATATTTTTAATTTTTTTTCAACAGAGTCCCGAGATCTGTTTGAAACAGAGCCTGAGACAGAGTCCTCCATTGGGGATGGTGCATTTTGGTTCGAAGAACTCGCTCCAAATCAAGACCACGCAAAGGAAATCAGAATGACACATTGCAGTGGATACGCAGTTACAAGTACAAGTTGTAGTTCTGAAGAAGTCACATTTCACCCTGCCCTATGCAGCAGAAAAGAAACTAAGAAAAGGAAACGTCCCGCACAAAATTCGCCGTCATCACCAAGTTCGTCCGTGGACTCCTATCGGCATGTTACAAGGAAAATGAAATTGGAAACAGAAGAAGAAACAGAACAGGACCAAGATTCAGAAGCATCCTCTCCAGCATCCGCCGATCGTGCTCACTCTAGTGCCTTATCCCTTTCTCGTTTTTCGTGTACTTCGGGTTCGGCTAAAGAAAGCCCTTATTCAACACCTCCGAAAGAATCCGAAGAGGATGAAACCAGGTCAGTAAACTCAGGAAAAGTCAGGAATTTAAAATAAGTCAAGTTAAGTCAGGAAAAGCAGTCGCGCGGAACGAGTTGAATATTTACCACAAAATTAATTTTTGTGTTCTTCTTTTCCCTTGTTACTCGTTCGGCGGCGTATTGGGCAAAGTGCAAAGTGCGGCAAAGTGCAACATCGCACACTGTAAAAGTCTTACCAACTAGCCCTTGGTAGATTACCATGAATTTTGTGCTGACATAATACCAACACATTTTTCTTGGTAAATACAAATAAGGACGTTTGTAATACAAACGTTGTGCTTTGTATTACAAACAAAATGTATGTTTATAGTTACCAAGCTAGAAAAAAATTCCCTTGGTAACTACAAACATACATTTTGTTTGTAATACAAAGCACAACGTTTGTATTACAAACGTCCCTATTTCTATTACCAAGAAAAATGTGTTGGTATTATGTCAGCACAAAATTCATGGTAATCTACCAAGGGCTAGTTGGTAAGACTTTTACAGTGCAGGTGCAGTTTAGCTAAGACTGATTTCGTAGCGCTAAACCGAAGGGGTCGCCAACTCACCTTAACCGTGTACGGAGTATTATGGCATTATGGCACTTATTAAGGGATATTATGTCATATTATTTGATATTATGGAATATTATTCAGTATTATGGGGTATTATGATGTATTATATGAGGGTATTTTGGGGTATTTTCTCGAATATTCTGGGGTATTATGAAGTATTATAAAGGTATTATGGGCGCCATGTACGGAGTATTATGCTAGTTGGCGACCCCTCGCGCTAAACTTATTCGGCTACCGTTGATTCCAATGCAAATTTGATACCAGCGTCTTCGTATAAACTTGCTAAAAAGTCAGGAAAAACTAGTGTTTTGGTCAGGGATAATCCAGGAAAAAGTACGGAAGTTTGAAAATAATTGCATGTACTCCTCTCCTTTGCAGCTCGCTTTGCGGCTCGCTTTCCAGCTTAGTTAACCTACATAACGATGAACAACCTGTCGAGGAAGAGCTATGCAGTTCGGGTGATATGTTCCGAACGGCTTCCTACGAGAATTATAAACTGAAGTATTGTCTCCCTTCGCTAAAGGACGACGAGACAATGGAAGAACAGAGAGGTGAGGATAACTTATGATCGTAATCGAGACTGATATATATCCGAGGATACTGGCCGAAAACTTGCTATTATAAAAGCCATGTGCGTAAGTGTGTACCCTCTATGGTTTTCAGTATTTGGTGTGTACTGAACACAGTACACGCTTAATAGTGTGTACTTAAAGGTATTCACTATATAATGCATTATCTTTATCTTACACACTTGGTTTTCCAGAGCGGTGACATATCGGTATCGAATGTCGTAAAAATTGCCGTTTACGATAGAAAATTGTGCACACAGTTGCCCAGTTACAAAATTGACCGCACTGTAAACATCTTACAAACAAACTTCTCTGTAGCGAACAGTGAATTTTGCACCCACGTATTACAAACACGGTTTTGTACTTTATACAAACAACTGTGATCGTATTAGAACCAAATCGCATGTTTGTAAGTACAAAGTTTTTTTTTTTTTTTTTTATTTATTTATTGCAAGTTGATGGGTCCCATGAGTCAGAGACTCGTACCAAGGGACAATACAAAGTTTAAAATGGTTGGTGACATGGCATTATTAAATATTAGAAAATATAGTTATACAAGTGGATGAAAGAAAGAGATTAAAATTATTGAGGAGTATACATTTGTTTAACATATTTTTTAAATTTCTTGATGTTAGTGAACTTCATTGCCTCTTGAGGAACAGAATTAAATAGCTTCAGAGCTCTATTAAATATGGATCCAGTACCATGGGATGTTGTATTATGCTGTTGTTGATGAATTTTTGTTGAGGATCTGGTAGCGTAGGTATGGATCTCACTATTAGTTACCAGGTGAATATTGGTGTTCACAAGCTTGTTTTTAATTTTGTACATATATATCACAGATGAAAGATCAGCTTGATTACGAACAGGTAACACCTGAGCAATTCTATATACTTCAACAGATGGCTCGTTGTATGCCAGGTTAAAAATAAATTTTAGAGCTCTTTTTTGTAACACCTCAAGCTTCTGTATAAGGTAACAGGAGCAGTGGCCCCAAATGGAGATTAAATATGTTAGGTGAGAGTGGATCAGAGCATAATAAATGTTTCTTAAAATTTGATTGTTTAGTCCACTGTTTCTCAACCTATATAGAATTCCAATCACAGGTGTGATTTTTTTGGCAATGTGCTCAACATGTACACTCCAAGTAAGAGTAGAGTCCAGATGTAAACCAAGGTATATTGCTTTATCCACATCCACTCTTTCAATAATATTATTGTTGACATTAACAACATTAGTAGAAGATGGAACATATCTTGCTGAGTGGAAGAATAAGTATTTTGTTTTTTCAATGTTTAAGATTAAATGGTTAGCATCAAGCCATTCAGATATATTTCGGAGATCAGTGTTGATTTTTTCCATAAGATGTTCTTCTGATTTAGCTTCATAGAGCAGTAAGATATCATCGGCATAGAGCATTAATGTACCTTCGAGAGGAATATATGATAAATCATTGATAAATATGATAAATAAGATGGGTCCCAGGACTGAGCCTTGGGGTACTCCAATTTTAATAGTGCTACAAGAGCTTTTTGCACTGCCAATCTGTACTTATTGTTGTCTATCTCTCAGATATGTGGTAAGCCAGTCTAAACAGGGTCCTCTTACTCCACTTCTTTCAAGTTTTTCTAGCAAGATTCCATGGTGAACTGTATCAAATGCTTTTCTTAGGTCAATTAAGAGACCAGCTCCTAACTGTTTTTTGTCCAGTGTTGCTTGAATATGCTTGATTGAATTGAAAGTTGCACACTCCGTGGATCTTTTCTCAGTAAAACCATACTGTGCATCAGCAAAAAATTCATTACTTTCCAAAAAATTTACAAGCCTATTTTTGAAAAGTTTTTCCAGAATTTTAGAGATTTGAGGTAGTATGCTTATAGGCCTGTAATTAGTTGTTAAAGTTTTATCACCAGATTTATAAATAGGAACAATACGAGCTTTCTTGCACAGAGAAGGAAAGCATCCACTTTGAAAAGAAAGATTTATAAGTTCAAGTAGAGGGGGGAGCAATTCATCTCTACATAGTGTTAGAACTTTAGTGGAAATATCACCCTCTTGATTACCATTTTTGATTGGTAATGAGCTCAAGATCTGAAGGAGCTCATTCATTGTTACCGGTCTAAGGTACATACTTTTATTTGAGGTTCTTGTGGAGCTAGGTGATGTCATACTCCCCAGAGGTACTTGTGGTAGGTGACTAGTGAGGTCTTTAACAATATTTGCATAGAAGTGGTTGAAGCTTTCTGCAATTTCTTCTGACTCTTCCGTTATTTTGTCTTTATTTAGTATTTTCTTGATTAGAGGAGTGCCTTTCATTGTGGGTCTGTTTAAGGCTTGATTAGCGGCTTTCCATATGTCTTTGGGGTTGTTGCTAGATGTCAATTTCAGTAGGTGTTCCTTTTTTAGTTTCCTTTTCAGAGAGGTTATATTGTTGCAGATTTGTTTATATTCCTTGATAATGGTTTGCGAGGGATTTTTCATCTTGACTTTTTTAAACAGTATATCCTTTAGTTTAACAAGTTGGAGGAGCTCGTTATTTATCCATGGTTGTTTTTGAGGGGGCAACTTGGTGTTGCTTCTTTCTTTGGAGCAGAGGGTAATTGCTTGTTCAACATGGTTTAAAAAATTATCAAAGTTTTCATCACAGGATTTGTCAGAGTCAGGCCTAAAGTGATTCCGCCCCAAATATCTTTTGAGTTTTTCAAAATTAATCACTTTGTCGTTGGATTCTTCAGGGCTTATTGTGTGGTTGAATTTGTTCAGAGGTATTGATAATTCCATTATTACTATTCTATGGTCACTGAGATCGTTTTCGATGATAAATGTGCTTACCTCAAACTCACCACCAATAATATTATGGTCAATTAAAGTTGAGGAGTTGTTGTGTACTCTGGTAGGTATCGTTTGGTTGCACACATTTAAGTTGAGGCTCTGAAGTAGATCAAATAAATTTCCTCTCTCTTTTGAGTTTTTCAGAAGATCAATGTTGAAGTCCCCCATTAATATGACATATTTGTGACAGTTTTCTGTAAGCATTTGTTCAAGATCTTGAAGGAAGTCACTGCTATTATTTATACTTGGGTTATAGATGGAAATAACACTCATTTTGATATCATAGAATTGTACTTCAATTTTCTGAAGACTGTGGAATTTATTTATAGAGGATACGCTATTGCTAGGGAATTTGTTGTGAACATACAGTGATGATCCTCCACCTGTCTGTTCTCTGATGACATGATAGTTGGTATAATCCGCAATTTGGTAGTACTCTTCTTGTGCCTGGTTACTGAGCCAAGTTTCAGAGATAAATAAGAGGTCGACTTGCTCTGCCTGTTCACATATAATCTGTATATCCTCAAATTTGCTGAGATTGACCATGCTTCTGGCGTTTAGGTGTAGGCACTTTATCTTCTTGTTCTTGATGGAATTAGTTTTATAGTTAGTAAAATTATCACAGTATTTTATATCACATGCTTGACTAGATGCACTGACTAGTTCGTTTTGAGCCATTTTAGTAAGAAAACGAAATTGTTTATTTATAAATCTCTCTTAAATTTATTGTAGGCTAAGAAGAAGTTTGTAGTAGTCATCTTCTGACCTTATGTGGGTTGGTCTGTCCTCTTTCTTCACCTTGACAACTATTTTACAGTCCCTTACAAATGTGGATACTATTTTGTCCTGATGCTTTAGATCCCTACACTTCTTGGCTAATCCGTCCATCATAGGGATTAGATGTTCGTCTATGTAGATTTTTGTTGGAGAGCCCATGTAGTTGATATCACTGGTGAGGAGAGTTCTTTTATTGGTTTTACCAAACCACCGGTTTGCAGTTAAGAGTTGTTCTTTCTTCCATCTATTTGTTAGTTTGACGATGACTCTTCTGGGTCTTGTGTCCGTTTTTTTGCCTATTCTATGAGCTGCATCGATGTCACTGGCAAGGAGATCGACTTTCAGGGCTGCAGCCATATCAAAGAGTCTCTGAAACACATCTTCATTGGTCGTCTCTGGGATTCCAGAGATTATTAAGTTGTTCCTTCTTTGATACTGCTGTATCTCAGCAAGTTCAGTCTTAAACTCCATAGTAGGAGCCTCTCTTGCTTCTACGTCATTCACTCGCTCTTTCAGCTCACTGAGTTCACTTTTAAGGTTTTCATACTGCTCGGAGATAAATGTTTGGCTGGCTATTATGTCAGCTATTTCTTTCTTTAGACTAGTAGTACTGTCATCAATCTTTTTGGTGAGGACAGCCACGAGATCTTTTAGGTTAGGTGCATCCACGCAGTCTTCCCTTCGACAAAGCCATTTTTGGGCGTTGTCACTGCAATATTTCTTGTAGTTATCATCACTGAGCTTCAAACATGTCTGATGGAAGAGGCGTCGGCATTTTCCAGCACAAATTATAGATTTTTCTGAATTTTTTACGGTTTTTCCACAGGGAGCACAAGTTGTAGCCATGTCACCGCCTTGGCTCGAATCAAGGTCGCGTTAGATCTTCCCTCTCGTTTGCTCACCTATGTTGCGGCGAGTATAACAATGACAGGTTGCGTTCGCGTTTTTTCGAAGACTGTCTTTCGCCCTGGCGGAGCCGAGCCAACTGAGTTCTCGCCCAGCTTAGCCAACATGTAAAGCAAAGTTTCTCTGACCAGAGCCCTTGCGAGCATGCCGTCTCCCGGGCATTGGATACGGTCAGGAGTTGGCAACAAAGCCCCCCTGTCTGCCCGGTGACTCTGGCCGTCGTCAAAACAATGCCCCGAACGCATGGGCGCCATTCATTGTGGTCACACCTGGAGCTCCTGTATCGGGATTCGGCGGGGGTACCCCTCACCCCCTCTCACCCTCTCTGAAGCTGATCTAGGAATAGCAATTGGGGAGCTCCTTAATGCCCCTCCTGAGTTTTGCGAGAGCACCACAGAGAAAAGCTACAGATTCAGCCTTCAAAATCTTAATCATTCCGGATTTGTATTGCTGTGAATGCACCTTGCACCATGAAAAAGGTTTAGGGTATGTTTTCTAGAATGTAGTGAAGTTCTTCTTTTATTGGGGTTACGTTCTGGACATAACCACACTAGCGCCTTCGTGTGGTCGAAACCCACACTTCCTGACCCACACTAATGTCCTTTAAAATACAATCGCTAAATTAATGCCGAATATTTCCCAGGCCAAAGCAAATACAACCAGTCATTGTGACACGCTTAGACGTAAATAAAGTAAGTTTTGGGTCATACTTCGTGACTCCCAGGATTTGACTAAAGTCAAATCGTATTTTTTCAACTTGTTGATTTCCTGATCAGAGCGTATTTTGTACTAATCCCCTTCTTCCGCTGCACAGAAAAAAATGAAAAAAAAAAGACGCGAAGAGAGAGAGAGAGAGGAAGATCTGTCACTTTTCTTCGCATCTTACGTCGCAGCAGAACGTGCACGTGCGGCAGCAGAAGCACCAGCAGAAGCACCAGCAGAAGCACCAGCAGGAGCACCCTGGTCGGAGAGTCGGTATGTTGATGTCAGAAAGGTGATGTAGTAACAGTAATAGAAGTGATCAGTAACAAGCTCTGATATCAGTAATCTAATGCACACGTTTGTGATATCAATAAGATGACATCTATTATATAGTAAATACCAAAACCAGTTAAACAAAAACTTGCGGTTTCTATCTTTTGAAACATAGAACAACGAAGTGGAACATGTTATTTCCCCGGTGTCCAGACCGAGGCAGAGCCGAATTCACGGTCCGTTTCCACATAGCTCCAGCCGTTTGAGTCAAGGTGCTACAAACCAAATTTCAGCTCAATATTCCAATAACTATAGATTTTACAGCATTCTGAATTCGACTGGTACGTAGACTGATATCACATCTGGATACACCATTGTTAGTGACTACGTTGTTAGATGTATGATTTTGTGTGATAGTCTTCTGATCATGATATCAGCAGTATGATTCTTTATCAGAAGACTGACAAATGTCAGTATATTATGTCAGCTTTATGATATCAGTGCTCCTAACTGATGTCACTAACTGATATTAAAATCAGAAGAAATACAAAAGTCAGTAATATATATCAGCTCTCTGATATGATAGCCCCTTAACGTGATAAAATCACGATACTGATATCACCAAAAATTCCGACATCATTCATGTGATTCTGAAATCAGCCTTCTGACTCTCTGACCAGGGCACAAGAAGGAGCACCAGCCGAAGCACCAGCAAACGATGAACAACCTGTTGAGGAAGATGAGGATAGCCATCAAGCGGGTGGGGGACTGGACCTTGCTGTCTCAGTAGCCGTCTGGGTAGCAATTCGGTACAATTCAGTGTTTTTGAACCATTGAGGCCGAAATCCAGCGATCGACCTGTGTGCGCCAAGAGTCAATTGCACCATTTGTACTATTTCGACGACAGCACACTAGTTGTGCCTATGTGGTGCCAGAAGGACCAGTTCCAACCCACTACAGTAAGCAAAATCTTCGATCCTAGGGGCAAAGTTCAAAAAACAGCTTTTGACTAGTGTGTGACGCAGGTCAAGCGGGTGGGGGACTGGACCTTGCTGTCTCAGTAGCCGTTTGGGTAGCAATCCGGTACAGTTTCGACGACAGCACACTTTCAAGTGGTTTTTGGCTAATAACTAGGTTTTCCCATGACCGCGATGCCAGTTGGCCAACCCTCCGTTACCAAACCGTGCGTTGCCATTCCCGCGAGAATCAGGAGGGCCGTGACAAGGTTTTGGCGCGATGCTACATTCCGTTCCATTGTGTAGACTTACAAAACACAGAGCAAAGTGTTGGGATAGTGTGTGCGGACAAGTGCGGAGTGTTAAATTTACTAAGATTTGTTATTATTAGTTCTTTTAAGTTTATATTTTACTTTAACAATGACAACTAGAGCAGTTGCCTTCACAGAAGCTGAAAAGATTTTACTTGCTGGCATTACATCTGAACCACATTACAAAAACATAATTGAGACAAAAGTTACAAATGCGGCCACTAATAAAGACAAGAATGCGGCGTGGGTTAGAATCACCGCAGACTTTAATGCTGCCCAAAATGAGGGGCGTGCCGGGGCATTGCTTTTTCGTTTGTTGGGGGGTGGGGGTGGTTAAGGACCCTTTTTCCGATTTT